TTGGTTCCAATAGAGGCACTCCTGTACGCTTCTCCCAGCTCCGGGTCCCAACCAATTCAAAAAGGACAAAATTCTAGGAGAAAACGTCTCTGTATTAGTTAAAAAATGGAAATACAAAGCATTACGGATATAGTGCTTCTTCCAGAGTAAAGTTACTCCGCAGAGTATCCGACACAATAACAATTAAGTGACGCTAAGTCCAGCGGCCACTGCGTCCGTCCAAAAATGTGGCGGTAGCCATATTATATCAAATTTAAACAACATATGTACAGTTCAGGAGCCAAACACAAAAACTTCAATATAAGTACAAAATATAGAAAGAATAACAATATACAATGATAAAATCTCAAATTGGAATCAAATAAAATACCAAAAATGTCAACAGAAAAAGTCCGTCATGTCATAACAAAAATATGTAATCATGGAGGGATTTTCCAAAAAACAAAACATTCAAAAAGGATTCTACACGGGCCCGCAAAATTCCTCCATGCAAAAAGAGCAAGCGTTAATGACACTTCTATTTAGGGTTCCCACTCAACCCTAATCCACACCGGAAGAACGTGTAGGACTTACAGCAGTACGCCTACCCGCCATCCAACATGAATATGACCTATCGTGTTAACTAGGTACCTATACCTTCCCATCAGGCCCTCGATTCCCCTATCTATCGTGGAATGACCTAACGGTAGTATAAACCTTACCCAATTAACCCACACGAACATGTACAACACGTCGTAAAACTGGTCATATCCTATCCAAAGACTACATTCTCCATCATGGGGACGAGTCGCCAATCCACCACCACTTGCTCCGATCACATCAGTGACATCCAGTTTATTATCAACGTCATCATGATTCCGTTCTGTCAGACAAGTCGCGTCGATTCGGTGTGCATTAGCATCCGTTTCAGAGACACAAGACATATGCTCATCAATAGCATCGTCATCACACAACGCTGTAGACTGGCTGTTACCATCAAACACTTTCTTCTCATCATCACTCGACTGACAGTCAACCGGAATAGGAACAGTTACAGTTGCACAACCTTGTGTATCTTCAATCAACTTAACATTCGTGACGAGGTCCGATGACGTCGAAACACTGGGAGGCTCATTCGATGAAGTTGATCGACTAGTCACTATAAGTGGACTGCTGACACTTTCTGTCTCCTTATTATCGCTGTCACTACTAAGGTTCTGATGGCTACTATTTCCATTGCTAGTCATGGCATCCGAAAGAGAATGAGGTTTAGGCTTCTTAATAATAGTAGCATCATGTTGTTTCCTAGGCTTCTTAGCCTTTACAGTACCGCCATCACTTATCCTAGAATCTACTCTAGGTCCCGTTATATGATTTACCCTAAATGAAGGGTTCCGAAAATAGGCTTTATTCCGTCCAGACAATCCTGCCTGGGCCTTATTCATATTTACTGAATTCATTAACCTCTGATTACTCGAATCCAAATAACCGTTCCAGGCTTTTCGAGCAGCTAAGAGGCTTTTGTCATCACACACTTCGGATCCATCTTGATGCCTACACTTTTCACCTTTTTCTTTCTTTTCCATACTTAGAAAAGCCATCTTATCTGTTACACCAACCGGCTTCTTACTAGGATACGCATCAAGAGGTTTTACATCGTTACGGTCACATACTCGTCCTTCATCAGCGTATGCTTTCATGATATAATTGACAACTCTCTTATATTCCGGGCGTGCGTTAGGTAGAAACGAAGAATCCTCATGTCTCGCACGCAGACCACTAGTAGCTTCCGTATTATGTCCTGTTTTAGCCCGATAAGCTAATCTTCCGAACCTACTACTAGCTATCTTAGCACGAGACATAATAAATTCCGTCAACTCATTGAAATTAGGTTCTCTCTCCTCTTCGTCCCACTTGATTCCCAGCTCTGCCCACTGGGCTTGCATTCGACGAGGTAAGAGCCTGACTATTCGTTCTAAAGTAACCATGGAATGAAGTTCCGTTGCACAATTTAGCTGTTCTAAAGTTAAAGCAGCATTCTGCATTTTAATAGCCAAATTCGTCAACTCTTCAGGATCATTAAAATCTGCGTTCCCGGTTCTAAATAAGTCCTCTAAGGTTTCCCGGGCTATTACATGCGACTGTCCAAAGAGCTGTTTTAAGATGGCCTTAGCTCTATTATATCCCGCTTGTGGATCCATTATAAGACAACCTTCAATCGCATTTTTTGCCCTTCCTTTACAATAGTGAATTAAATACAATAAACGCAAATTTTCATCTTTTACTCTAGGTTCTATAAACGTTTCGATTTGGCGCATAAATCTAAAGTAGTCACGAGATTTTCCATCAAAAAATGAAAGTTCAACCTTAGGTAGTTCTAAGCCTACTATCGGTGTCCTAAGCATCTGATCCTTCTCTGGTACCTTAGAACTCTCACTTAATCCTGGTTCCTTAATGCCTGTCAAAGGTGACTTACAATAATAAGTATCAGACATAACATCATTGTTAACAGAGTGGTTACCTATTAAAAAGGTATCAATAACGACTTGCCTAGCATTTCGGGATACGTCAAGCTCTTCCACCCTCCTCGTGTTTGTTTTCTTGTGGTGGATCATTTTTAATTGAAGTTCAACGGAAGATAAATAACAAATACAAAATATAGGAATTCCACAGGTATAAATTGTCCAAAATCAAAAAATCGTTTTCCAAAATACAGTTCGAATACGAAAATACGATAAGTAATCCAAGATTCTTCTTTCAAGAAAGTTAGGGTTATAAACGATTAAAATTCCAAATGTTTCTTTATTATTCTTAATAATCCAACTGTAATTGGTCTTCTAATCAAAAGTGATGGATAATTCCAGACTGTAAATGGATTTCTACGGTGGCCGTTCCAATGGGTTCCAATAAGTGCACTCCTGAACTCGTTTCTCCCAGTCCAAGGTCCAGATAAAGCAAAAATTCTAGGAGAAAGCGGTCTTTATTAATAAAAACATGAAAATACAAAGCAGTACCTGGAATTAATACACCTTCCAGGTTACAATTACTCCGAAGAGTATCCGAAACAACGATAGATAAGTGACGTTAAGTCCAACGGCTACTGTATCAATCCAAATATGGCTGTAGCCATATTAAAGATCAAATTTAAACAACATATATACAGATCAGAAGCAAACACAAAAACTTCAATATAAGTACAAAATATAGAAATAATAACAATATACAATGATAAAATCTCAAATCGGAATCAAATAAAATACCAAAAATGTCAACAGAAAAAGTCCGTCATGTCATAACAAAAATATGTAAACATGGAGGGATTTTCCAAAAAACAAAACATTCAAAAAGGATTCTACACCGGCCCGCAAAATCCCTCCATGCAAAAAGAGCAAGCGTTAATGACACTTCTATTTAGGCTTCCCACTCATCCCCTAATCCACACCGGAAGAACGTGTAGGACTTACAGCAGTATTCGTTAAATTCAAACAATTTACTAACGATTTGATATGTCAGTTAAATTCCCTTAGTGGGTGAATGTCACTTCAAATATAAAGAGAGAACACGGTAAGCAGAATGGCTTGTGTCAGGCATGATGTTAAAATATTGATATTTTAAATCGGTTAAGCAAAGTATTCAAATTTATTATAGTAATCAAGTATTTCTCGGTAAGTAATCTACTTTCCTTTTACGAGGCACTTTTGGTCCTTACAAATGTACTCTAACTCGTTCTCGTGATGAATGTAGAGCATACTGATCGATGATTAGTATAACGGTTACGTTCACTATCAATATCAGGAATATTGTTCTTTCTATTCGTTAATGGTATTCACTATTGGTTGACTGAATCTATTCCCATATCGTGTTTTTTATTAGTAAATTGTCTTTAACTGAGGGAAGTTAACTTTTGTGTGATCTGGAGCTTCGTTAGTACAAAAATTGATAATTATTTAAACAAAATATGTCTTATGTCTTCATTGATATCACTAAACCCTAAATCATCAATATTTTTAATCCAAATTTAAGTCGTATGTGTGCTGAAGTAGTTAGTTAGATTCTGAAAAATTCACAAATCTGTGTTGAAAAATCCTTGATATTTTGTCTAGCAGCATGTAAGATTTTGACTACTTGCACAATTTTGATTTTATTGAAGTGATTTAGTGTAATCAATTGCACAACTGACCCGAAAATATTTAGTGAATTGTCATTGTTCATCGTAAGATTAACGAATTCCGCTCTAATTACCAATCATTGCGCTTGTTATTCAATAAATATTAAGCATAAAAAGGTTTTGGTAAGTAAGAAGTTACCATTTATTAGTCAGTAATTAATTCACACTTTCTGACCAGTTCATGAGACATAAATCTCGAAGTGTTTAAATATAATCTTATTGAAAGTAACATTTATAAATCATCTAGATAAGTAAATTTTACGTTTACAACCCGAAACATAATATAGTGCAAAATTAATTAATGGATTTACTGAACGGTTCACGGTGTGCCGACAACCATTATTTTTTTGATATTCAATATTTAGTACATTCGAGTACTTACATGTTCATTTAGTGTGTCATTGCTGAATATAAGAGTTTAATTTTTGCTGGGGTCCTAATTTCGACCATATGAAGCTATATATATATGTCTTCTCGGAATATGGTTCTGTAGCCCATCCCGTGTCGAATGAAGACAGTAAATAGCGTGAAAGAGCTTGAAATGAAACCCACAATGAAAGTTGTACATTTGTATACCATGTCAACCCACTGAATTAATGGAAAAGTGCAGATGAGCTCCAAGTTTGAGGAAATGTATCCCATAACCATTTTGACACAAAATGAACTTAGAAATATTACAGATATATGTTAAAAGTTAACTAAAAGCACAAAACTATATTGAGAAACAAACATTGTACATTAAAACGAAATCGACTTCATCTTCGTAAAGCCATATCTAGGATTCATGAACTGATTAGTAGTCCTTCGAAATCGAACGAAATATAATGTATATTCATAACAGTTATTAACTTACCTTTAAAGTAAAGAGTATTGATTAATGCAAGAACAGTCGTCTGTGGTAGTGGTTCCTCCAAGATTGTAGGAATCATTTTATTTGTTTTGTTACTGACCCATTCATTAATATTTTTTGTAGCATCGTCGGTTTTTGTGAAGTCTACCTGGATTTACATTCAAAGTGTTCAATATCGATACAATAGGTTCATTAAATATCAGTTATTCATTACATTGAGTCAACTTAAGAACTGGTCCAGTTTAAATAAGTAAGTATATACCCTAGTGTATATGTAAAGAATACCACTTTCATAAGGGTTGGAGTATGCGTGCAATTATATATTTAGGAGACATACCAGATGACAATCATAGAATGACTAAGTAATATCCACATTTTTTCGAGCAGAACTATTTACCTGAACGATTTTTTCTCTATTGTTTGATAAGGTATATATTGTATAAAATCTTTGAAATATCTATCATTCACAGTTAAACAAATTAAAACAATAAACTAGGTGATTTTCAATCAGTAAATTCACAAATACCTACATTTTAGTATAAAACTTATCATTTAACAGAACCTAACTAGTATACTCTGTTTCACATTTTCGTTTCGCAATTCATAGTGATAATTAGTTTTTGATGGTTGATAGCTTCTGTAATCATTATGAGTAAAAAGAGATTCCCATAATACTAGTTATATGAAACAACACTGTTGATCTAAAAGTTTACTTGGGTTTGCCATTATGAAAACTGTAATTCCAATGGTTAAAAATAAAATTTTTGCTGTAAATGTTACGTTTTACAATCACAATTAGCCATGAAGTTATTTTTAAAATTACCGTGTGTTATTGTGAAGTTGACTGATTACGTGAAAAAAAAATACATTTCGCAGAAAATTATATGGTGTTATTCTTATTTTCACCCAGTTTAGTGAAGTATTTTTCAGAATATAAATATTTTGAAAAAGTTATAATTTACTTACGTTAAAAACGTCATTGTAAAATATATTTTTCATCCTGGTCAAAAATTTCAGTTTTATATTAACTTCATTTTTCAGAAACATTCCATTTCCTAGGGAAACAATTTGGTTTCCGTTTCTCTTTTCATCTGTCAAATTATGATACAGTAGGGCAAACATCCGTGAAACGAATTTATCATGTTCTTTGAAATCGTCAAGTTCCAAGGCTTCAGCAATCTGTACTTTTGTATTACCCCTGGGTCCTCCTGAGCCGAGAAGTGTTGCGAGAAGTAGGAATACACTTATCGGAGACGACAAATAGTCATTTGTTCCTGAAATAGTGAAGAATCGATATTGGTAATAAAACATAAAAAAAATATAAAAAAATACTCCTCTTCAAAATAAATATTCATCAACTTTTACAATTATTCACTCACGTTAAATTTCAGATAAATGGTTTACGAATAAAAGGTAAATTGAAATTCAAGACAAATAAAATATATACTAATCTATTGTGAGGGAAATAGTTTTGAAAGATTTTCAGTTTCATGGTTATTTTCAGTTGCAGTAGCTTTCAGTGAGTTTCAGTGAGTATGGATCAAAGAAAATTTTATGTAAACTTAGATGTTAATCAACTATACTGATTTACGCATAACACATAACGTTTAATAAAATCTTCAATCAACAATCTTAATCAGTAGTTATTCATCCAGTGACACTACTTTTGCTAGAATGAATAGGTCAATGACTATACTTAATTAGGAGATAATGTTTACAGACGTGAAGAGTGTCACCGACTCCATAAACAAAACAAATTTGAGTATATTGAATACCAATCACGGGATAAGAGAAGAATTACATCATTTATTGTCAGTGACAGAGGAAGACCTGAATTATTATTCAGTTGGTAGCTGTAATTAACGTTAGTTTTTCAAACTACTAATATCTTTAATTTCATAATAAAGGGATAATGTCATTGGAAAAAGATATTCGATTCAGCTGATCATCGGAATAACATAAATAGATCAATAGGTTTTCCTGTCACTCGTTTAACTTATAGTTTCAAGATGAAGATGATTACACAGTGACCTTCTTTAAGTAATATGAGTCATTGTAACTAACTATTAGAACTAACCAGTTGCTGATATTTCTAGTAGATCACGAGCGAAAACATTATATCTTGGTTCATTGGTTGTGAAACCCATTTCTACAGCAGAAATGTTAATGGATCCCTACATTTATATAAAATATCTTTTGTGGTTTAAATCGATACTTGACAGTTACTAAAATATCGCTCAATTTTTAATACACTCAATAAAAATGATTAGCCGATGACAAGTGATTATTGATAATGATGACAGGTGGTTATTGATAATATAAAATTGCACATTCTTGAGAACTTCGCCTTTTTGGAAATAATTAGTGTAATATATTATTTTATCAATAAGACAGCAATTTCTTATTAATAGATAAACTGAGTAAACTACATTCAAAATTTATCATAGTCTACTCGAACATAAACAGATATCCTCCACAGTAATCATGAGTATTTCGAAAACGAATATAAAAAGAACTTTAAAAAAGAATTAGTTTATTTCAAGTATCGATAATGATAAGAAACTTTAGTTTTCAAAATATAAGTGTAATTCTTTTACTGAGCATATGAAAATAACTATTAACTAATCAAAGCACTAATACATATCACTAAAGATTGACCGCAATTATACATATACTAATCATCGATCAGTATGCTCTACATTCATCACGAGAACGAGTTAGAGTACATTTGTAAGGACCAAAAGTGCCTCGTAAAAGGAAAGTAGATTACTTACCGAGAAATACTTGATTACTATAATAAATTTGAATACTTTGCTTAACCGATTTAAAATATCAATATTTTAACATCATGCCTGACACAAGCCATTCTGCTTACCGTGTTCTCTCTTTATATTTGAAGTGACATTCACCCACTAAGGGAATTTAACTGACATATCAAATCGTTAGTAAATTGTTTGAATTTAACGAATACATGTTTAAACAAATTATTTTGGTTACTACTGATCAAGAATACACTAAAATGACTCGTGTTGTTGGATATCAGGAATAAAAATTAATATGCATTATGATTTATTATTTGACAGTTACATCTTAAGGTGAATACAGGATACCAACTAGCAGTTTTTAGTCACAATCAAACGAGCTTAAATACGTAGATAATTGTTCACAAAAACTACCTATTTATATTATTAACATGACTTTTATGTAGACTATCTAGGATAAAAAAGAAGTGTGTATATTTTATGGATAGATAATTGAACTATAGTGCGTACTACACTTCGATATTAGCAACAAACGTGATAAACGAGGGACAACAACTGTTTTAAATCAATAGCTAATTTACCTGTTTAGTTTTGAAACTTATTTCAGAGACTATACGTATTTCTACAGTAAAAACAAACTGATCCCAGTTAATAATAATATTGTGTTGATATTTAATTATTTAGCAAAATAAGATTACTTAACTTGATTAAATGTTCATTCTCTTAGGTAACACAGTGATCAGGTGAAAACTTCAGTAGATGAAGAATAGTATTTACACAGATTGTTTTTAAAGTATATCGTCAGATCTGTGTAGTGCTGCACATTATTTCAGACAATAAATCTCAATTTCCAGTCTTAGTGAGGAAATTGACAATCTGAAACAGACAAATTCTCACGGTCACTCTCAGTTCCATCAACATTTGCGTTAATATCATTAGACATTTTGCTGATGATGTTGTTCGGAAATACAATCAAATTTTCACAACCAAATCTTCCAGCTCAGAACGAAACAATTCCACAATCATCCACCGGAGCTATAAATTTTCTACATCATCTGAATATTCATTTTTGTACAGTTTACCTTAAGGATATATTTATATAAATGTATTCTTAAAGCTGTAAATGTTTAAAGGGTGAAGGACACCTTCAGGAATTCACAGGAACTAAGTTAGCTGTCACTTCATCAGTAAAGCATTTCTTATTTGCAAACAATATCTATATATTTTACGGACACATGAATGAATAAGTCAAAAATTTATTCCCTCAGTGTTCACTTAAATGAGGAAATTGATATTCTTATTCAACCTTTGTAGTATTTACTTTCAAATCCATTTACGCTGATAAACTACTGAAAACGTAACTTTCTTCATATTCGATCTGTGTTATTTACGAAACGAACACTTGCTGCCTTAATGCTTATATGATTTCAATTAAATGATTACGTTGCGATAAACTGTTGTTGATTCTCGGTTAATAGCTTGTATGGAGAACGTATTATGCATTGTGTACGCCAATTTATCAGTTACATATTTTGAAATAAGTGACAGCTTTAGTTAGATGGAAAAATTGGCAGAGTTTACCACAGATATCATTTTTATATTTGTATATAACAACGATCCATTGAAGACATATAGGTAACAACAACACATATAAGCGAACAATATTGTTTTCGATTGGATCGTCATCAGGCTTTACTCCAATATACATGAATATTTATAAAAAAATGTTAAACCAATCAAGGCAATTTGAGTGATTAATCACAATGAAATGAAAAATATGATAACTAAAGTTTTATCAATAGTACGTCAAACGTGGATGAAGAGACTTCAAATAATCCATTAAAACATCAAAACCATTACGTAATAAGCAAATGTGTAAAAATAAAATAAAAAAATATAACAATAATAATAATTTATTCCCAAATAACAAACATGTTACAAGGGACAAGCCAATTTACAGGCATGATCAAAAGCTTAAGATTAGCAACATATTTCTTTTAAAACGGTATACATTTACTGAAACATTTCACGAGATTAATTGGATTCCTAGAGATGGAGTGTACAATGCGAATAATTGGCGCGAGTTACGAGGGTTGCGTTACGACTATCACCTTATGGACTGCGAAACAATTCATGGTAGAGACAGGTTTGCATATAACAAGAATTGATGCGGTAAATGTACGCAGGTTTGGTTTATATTCATCAGCTAATTATTTCACATGTTCCTGTGTAGGGTAACAAAGTCTACGGCAAATATCCAGACTAATATATGAGGATTGGAATAAGGTGCTGAAAAAAGAGGAATAAAGAAAATGGGACGAGGAGCAGAACAGAAAGTATTCTTGTTTAAAGCCGAACAACGGCTTCGCACATACACTTATGGATAAAACAAAGGTATGTTTACTCAGACTTATTTTTAGTATCAGAACACTAACTGTACACCTGCACTTATGTAGGTTAATAAAGGCAACTCAGTAGTGAGATAACTAATGGGAAGTTAGTCATATGAATAGAGGAAATTCAGAAGAACCAAGTTGTTGGCAATAATGTTTATTTGCAAAATATAATAATGAGGCACAGTAATGAAAAGCTTTTGTGGTATTTTAGTTATTCTGTTTCTTTTTATCTCTGTGGCTCAAGAAGTCATAAGTGAGCTCTTTTTTCAGTATAGTTGTCCAGACCAGCTTGTAATAGGATTTCTCGGTAGGAAGTAAAAACCAGTGCAAGGTTACAGACATGAGTCGTAGACGAGGTTAACAAGGAAAAGTAACATCAATATCACTGATTTGTTACATACTGTTATATATCGTAAGGAGCCGTAAGCAAACAAAATGCTCTGTCTCACAAACTCCAGTGCATCGAGGTTATCGCACAACAATCATGATTGCAGGTCAGACACACCACGCCTCATCCTTTTGTGATGTCAGGCTCTCTTATGCTTAGTGTTAGATTTTTTGTTTCAGTCTAAGCTCTATTTTGCACACCTTTTCGGAATACACTGTCTCTACCAGTTCCATTTTACAAGCAAACCAGACAACTGTGGCTTCTGTATGTTGAAA